AAACGGTATTTGGGGTTCTTGTATATATAAGATAGCCGAGTCGGTGTACAGTTAGTGTTGGGTGTTGGACAGGTTGACTGTTTGTACTTGTGTATTGTCTGCAGTGCATGCGTGGCACGGCACGGTAAGAATACACGTGCCGGGTGTCCTGGTTGAATGGGAATTCTTGACGATCGATTCCCTCGCTGGCAAACTTTTATTGTGGTGGAATTTAATCGGGGCGGAGGTATTTTAAACGGGGCGCAACGATTGAAACAGTGGGGAGTTTTCCCAAACGGGGCGCGCGCGCCCCGTTTGCGCAACGTAGGAAGAACCCTGCCTTTCGAATAATTGTGTGCAGGGTCACAAAATCATCAATCCAATGTTCAGATATGGCACACATAAGCATCTATACATGATGATGACTACTGTAAATCATTATATAAGGTGTAACTTGCACCATCTTAATTAATGCATTTAGGAGACTATATGGTAATGAGCACACTAATGAGAATCATTGTTATGCGCTTGCTACAACGCATCACTACTAGGTGAAATGTGCAACACCTGTCACCTTATACTAATTAATGCATCTATAAGACATGAACAAGAGCACAGTTATTGATTATGTAACATCTGTTTTACACGTGTGACATGGCTAGCTAGACAGAGCGTCATTGCTACATTGATATATTAGAGAGAATGGTAAACGTGGTTAGGTTACAGATTAGAGGGTCACTGTGAAATTGGGGTAGGACCTAGTCTGTGAGAACGGGTACATGTGCGGGCAGTATGTTTGTAGGAGTTTTGGGGGGTAATAGATAGGACAGAGATGTAGGGTGAGGATTCTGGTGCTGGGCGCGGAGGTGAGCACACGCACGTATGTGCGTGTGCGCGTTCTTTGTCTCTTGTGCGATGTGACGACACTGTGTATGCGTTATTAAAGATTATTCCGGTTACTACAACAAGTTTGACTTTATAGCATCATCCCTGTTTACAATTACTCATTAATGCATATGATGCTAGGTGACATATGATCATACGCTTTCTTGTTATATAAGCACTCACCTCTGGCAGCCTGAACTTGCTGTATTGAGGTTTGAAGTGAGGCTCGGCCGTTGAGAGTCTACTGAACCAGTGGTAAAGGGCACTCCACTGTACTAGCAGGGTGACAGCAACTCCTGCCAGGAAGGCTAGCACAACCGTCGTTATGAACATGTCTCGGCGGGCAGCAGACAAACAGTGGCTTGACCGGTGGTCAGCTCCCAGGTGCTACTGACGACTCCCGCATCGGTACCTGCAAACCGGACAGCATCTACGTTCAAAGTTTGAATTCCACTATGTTATCGATGGCACATGTCGTGGCCAGCCGAGTTATATCAAGAGCTAATGATACCTAGCTAGCTACCTACCAGCTACCTAGCTAATAATAAGGTATTATTCGCTCTTGCACATGGTTATATGTTGTTGAGCTTCTGAACATTGGATGTGATCTTTGGAAAACAAACTGGCTGGGTCCCCTACCTGGTTTCCCTCTGTGCCCTTCCTTGAAATTCCATGTTGTGTATGAACCGTATTCTCCTTGCTTATTACCACACAATAAGAGTTGATAAAAAGTTAATGGCCTCGATGTCCTATCTGTTTTGGCAATGTTTACCTAGACAACCCTTTGAACTTGCTGCGATGCACTGAAATTTCTTCATTAACCTGAAAGAAAACCTCTATTTAAGTTCAAACCTAGAAAGTTAAGATTTGGCCCCTTGCAGGTGTAATAGGGGGAGGGTGGTCATTCACAGACAACAATAGCAGCGTACAATACAGGCCCGTAGCCAGCTTTATATTGGGGGGGGGGGTTCGTTTTTCAATGTTGGCAATTTGCTCGTCAGGGGCGTGTGCAGGATTTGTACCAGGGGGGGTCTAACCGTAACCCAAAGTTGCGAGCACGCGAAGAAAATTTTTAAAATTAGACCCCCTCAGATGCGTTTTCTGCGCGAACAAGGGGGGGTCCGGACTCCCTGGACCCCCCCTGTACACGCCCCTGCTCGGGCGCGAAGCGACCAGGCGAGGGACCCAAGCGACCGAGCGGGGGGAGGGTGTGGGAGGGGGGTGTTCACTGTTCACCCTCCCGCACGATGGAGATTTTGCAATTATTACACTAAAATGGAGCGACCTGAGGTGAAATTCTTGCAAATTTTCAAAAAAAAAAAATGTTTGCTTGGGGAGGGGGGCTCGGGGGGGGGGGGGGGTTCGTTCGAACCCTCCCGAACCCCCCCTGGCTACGGGCCTGCAATAGAGGATGGTAGAATTCAAACCATATCATCTTATCTGATCACAGCATCTGACGCTTTACTTTTTATGTAAATGGCTGGCGGAATCAGGAAACACCCACCGGCGCTCTTCGTGACCTCATTTTTGTGCCGCAACGCTGCAACGTTTTTGCAACGCTCGTACGGGAGTTGAAAAGCAGTGTGGTAGTTTCCCAAAATGCAGTGCGCCGCCTATAGCCCTGTACTTGCAGCAATTTACATAAACTTTCGTCAGTCTTCGTTTGATTTCGTGTGACACAGCTCGGTTACGAACACAGACAGTATGTTTTTATAACAAGTGAACACTGTTCTTGAAATAAAAACAAAGATGGAGTGGAATGGTTGAATATTTGTGTTGTATTCGTGTGAAATCAATTGAGCGACGAGCGAATTTTGGCAGCAATCTTTCCTACCTGCTATATATTTATGTGTCAGTGTGCAGCGGCAGCAATGGCGGCAGCCAGTGTTTGTTGTAGATGAGCATTTGGACGGAATTTACAGAAAATTGACGGCAATAATAGGTGAAAGAGAGTATAGAAACATTAACTTCTTTTTTTTAACATTAGTAAATAGATTTCGTATTTATTTAGCATTATATTTTATTGAACGCAGTGGCTGGAGGTACGGCAGCCGTCGTTCGTTGAAGCCCTTTTTTGGCGTTAGGGTTAGGGTTAGGGTTAGGGTTACGGTTAGGGTTAGGGTTAGGGTTAGGGTTAGGGTTCTAGCTCATCTAAACTCTCAAATCGTGAATTTATTTCCCAATGCGTTATTTCGAAATCTGGCGCCACCCGCCGCCATCTTTGTCTCGTTAAGTATGAAAGCAAATGGACTGCCGTACGTACCTCCAGCCTCAAGACATTAAGATACGGCTGCCGTACCCGTAGCCCCAGCCTTTATTGAAACGCTCCAAGTCAAGTGCCTGTGCATAGAGCCTGGTCGAGCTAGCTCGATCTGCTTGTAAGGCTGTATTGTGCAACCTTTTGCTGAGCAATAATTAAACAATTAACGTTAGGAGGTTCGATAGAGACTGCAACATGGTTTTTAGTTTTTGGCATTCTTTACTGTGTTATGTGTAGACCACTAGTCTAGATTGTGTAGATAGATGTGTAATTAGTCACACAGCCTGGTCGGGCTATTGTGATAATTGAGTATTGTCAGCCTTGCTCGAGTCCCAATGCCAATGGCAATGGCAATTCTCTGGTAAACAGTCATTCACTTGGGTCAAATTAATACTCAGGTTTGTTTATGTTGGCAATAAACTACACTACTACCACAAATAATGCAGGAATTTTCATAATATATATAATAACTTACCAAAACAAACCGTTTATAGATCCAGATTATCTTTCACCTAGCGCTGATCCACAATAACTACAGTCTCATGGGGGCTGCCATAACACTCTATAAACGCATGCGCACTAATAACGGAGTATCGCATCGTATCGTACAGAACTACAGCGTGCACTTGCAAAGAGCCTAGATACAAAGAGCTTATAAATAGTTAGTCAAGACACACTACAAAATATTTAGTTATTGCTGGTATTTTTTACGCGTGTACTTGTGTGCACGCGTCTGTGCACGGCTGTGCAGATTTTATTATAGAGATCAGTGGTACGTGCCCGTGCGCCGCGTACATGGTCAAGTAACGGAACGCACTTTACACTCTTTTTTGCCGATATAACTACACGTAAAAAATGTTTATGTGCTTTTGGTAATTTAGTAACGCTTTGCTTGGCTATTGTGCAAAGGAAACTCACAATGTGGTAACGCTGTCGTATATATGGCAAATCCATGCTTCTCTGATAGTCTAATTAGATTTTATTCTTTTTAGCAGGAACGCGTAATATATATATATATATATATATATATATATATATGCATATGTGATTATATCGCATTTTATTTAGCAATTACTAGCTTAGGTAAAATTTGTTTTATTGGGTTCCTTCAGGTTAAGCAATTTGGTTATTATATGATAGAAAAGATACCACGCAATCACACGCACACACATTTACGCACAAACTATAATCTAATAATTAACTAACCGTATAAGTACACTATTCTTCCATGCAGTTTTGACGCATTGAAGGGTACTTAAGTATATACCTAATAAGCTCGCTCAGGGTACATGGATCCGTTACCTTAAACGTTCATATAAGTTATTCCTTTACGGGTCAGGGATGTAAACAGCAATGCAACAGCATACACTGTTACGTAAAGGTCATTACATCATTGACCTATGTTATTCACAAACTTTGTGCCAGATTCTGACAATAAGTCCAGGAAATATATCACAAGTATATAACATACCATATAATATATTTTAATGATGCATATCTAAAAGCGGTTGGTTAAATTGACAGGATCTGGCATGTAGGTGCTCTGCAACAGCAACCAATTTGCCCTGTAACCCACTAACTAATAATTGACGGGGCTTATACCGGTTACCTTAGTGGTAAGCGACCAGCACGGGTTGTTGTATTTAACAACGCTTTGTTACCTCGACAAGGACCTATAGTTTTGCACCTATGGTCCGTTGGAGATTGCATACACTCGCAGGAACTGTTAATGCCAGCTTATGTTCCTCTGAATAAAGCAACTAATAAGAGCAACTCCCATAATATATAAAGATTGAGTAGAAGAACATCGATGTATACATGTAGGGCTTATGGCTGTGCACACTAATTAGAAATCAAAATCACATAACGAGATGCATAAAATTTGTGTTATTATATTGCGTCTCATCACAAGAAATAAAAATTGCAAAGCATATATGCATTACCAATTGCAAACCACGCAATACGATACACTACTATACGTCCAAAACTGTAGCTTCCCTCTTGCGTTACGTAAGAGTTGGGTAATTTCCCAAACGACAAGAAAGTTTGACTTTATTGCCGTCATAACAAAATGGCTTGGGGCTTTGCTTGTGGTACACGCGCGTGACATATACAGCCAATATAATTATATCAAATACTCGCATAGCAGGTATATGATTATTCGATATACAAAACATTTATTACACATTGAATGCTAAATTAGTGAAGAGCAATTGTATATACTATTTGACATGACCATATACCGGGCTTGTATATCTCTATGTATATACACGTGTCTATCCGGGCTTGTATATCTACTAGCGAGCATATACTTTCTATAGCCCATATTTGCTGCTTCACAATTACGCTATATTCTTTAGTTATAAAAACACGCAAGTTACATTTCTGATCATTGTTTTGCCATTCACAGTTAGCAATAGATAGAGCCCACATGCTGCATATTTTATATGCATTATACCTGTGCATTGGGATTCTAAAACGAAGAGTACAGCTAAGCTGTCTAAATGCAAAGCAAATGCTACGCCGGATTTATATGCGTAACAGCTCACCCAGCCACCGTGCGCAAATAATTTCCCCGCGTAAAATACTAATCGCCTATACTCATCCGAGTTCTGCAGATCCTCTTTCCAAAAAGTAAATAGACGAATTTCACAAATAAACGCACACCGCGCAAGCAATCGGTAGGCGACAGCATGCGATGCGGACCGGCCCCGCCGCTCTCATAGCAATAAAAGTTCAGTCGCAAATCGCGACGTCCGGTCCCATCTACAATCGCTTATGAAGCGGAAAATGGTGAAAGCATCTAATGATGAAGTCGCCGACCAGGGGCACGACAGCAACGACCAGCACAGGCACGATGGTGTGCTTAACGAACGCCGACACGTAAAACAGTGCCATCGGCTCGTAGGGCAGCGGCAATGACTCTGCATATCTGTACAGACCGGCCGCTAGCACAGCGGTCACCATCCTCGCGTCCCACGGCCGCCTGTATCTCTTCTGCCCCTGTCCGTAGCCCTCGGGGATCGGTGACACCCACGTACGCAGATTCAGACCGATGCCGAGACCTAGCAGGGCACCGCACAGCCGAGCCAGCGAGTGTAGCGGAGCCGTGTTTAAGTTCACCCAGCCCTGCTCCTTGCAAAAAGTCAATGCCTTCACGACCGACCAGTCCGGGTTGAATCCGAGGCAACGTATGCATAAGTATTCGTCGTAGGCGAGACCGAACAGGACACCGGAGGTGATCACGTAATTTCGGGTTCTCATTGAGGTGATGGGAATCCATGCTAGTCCGGCTACCAGAACCATACCTGTGACAGAGAGAGAGACGGTATAGATGTACATTGAGTGCTGGAGACAAAACAGCGAGTGAGAAGTGGGCGAGGGCGACAGAGACGGACTGGGCTGGAAGTGACTATAAGAGGGAGAGAGAGAGCGCGCAAAACAGAGAGCGGGGAAGAAGTTAGTGGTCGAGAGAGAGCGAGAATGGGCGAGAATGAGAGCTAAAGTAAGTGAGTGTTTGTGTGTGCGTGCGTGCGTACGTACGTGCGTGCGTGCGTGCGTGCGTGCGTGCGTGCGTGCGTGCGTGCGTGCATACGTTCTTGCGTGCGTGCATGCATGTACGTATGATAAAGTGAAAGGGGGTGGAGGAAAAGTACCAGTAAGTACGAAACGTATATATATGCAATGTTAGTGACAAGAGTACATCCTCGCAAAATTTGTGTGTGCGTGCGTGCGTGACCACCGTGCGTGCGTGCGTGCGTGCGTGCGCGCGCGCGCGCGCGTGTGTGTGTGTGTGTGTGTGTGTGTGTGTATGTGTGTGTGTGTTTGTGTGTCGCTCTCTCTCTCTCTCTCTCTCTCTCTCTCTCTCTCTCTCTCTCTCTCTCTCTCTATCTCTTTCTTTCTCTCTCTCTCTCTCTCTGCGTGTGCGTGCGTGCGTGCGCGAGTGCGTGCGCGCGTGTGTGTGTGTGTGGTGTGTGTGGTGTGCGTGCGTGCGTGCGTGCGTGCGTGCGTGAGTGAGTGCGTGTATGTGTGACGGTAGGGGTGAGATATAATTCATAAGATACAAGTTACACATCACTTATTATCAGGAATGACTAAAAATGGTCTCCTACCAATTAATCGAACACTCGACATCATAGCAAATAGGTACAGACATGGATATATGGATTAGGGTGGAATAAAAATAAATCGATTCGCTGCCGACATTATCTGCCGACTACATGAATAGAGATCTTTCTTCTCTATTGTAGAGACCCGGTAAAAGCTTCTTCGACCTCTATTCATGTACTCATGATACTATATTATCAGGAGTGAATAATAATAATAATAATAATAATAATAATAATAATAATAATAATCTCTATGATAATGTGAATAATAATCTATTATTATTCACTCCTGATATTATATTATATAATATTATATTATTATTATTATTATTGTTATTTTATTATTATTATTATATTGTTATATTATTATATCATTATTATTATTATTACTATTATTATTATTATTATTATTATTATTATTATTATTATTGTTATATGATATTATTTCCATGCTCACCGCAGATAGCTCCGGCGATAATCTGGTGTGGGAAGTGCGCGCCGAGAGACAGTCGTGACAAACACACCAGCAGGTAGCAGACGGCGAAGATGGCCCAAACGACGGCGCTGACGACACGGGAGACACCTTCGTGGCCAGGTAGCACGTGTTTCTGCAGCTTCCGTAGCAGGGCGGCAATGAGCACGCACCAGACAGCTCCCGTGATCATCGCGTGGCCAGACGGACTTCCTATACGCGATACAGAGAAAGAAAGAGGGAGTGAGAGTGAGAGAGAGAGAGAGAGAGAGACAGAGAGAGGGGAAGAGAGAGCAGCGCCCGATTTAGGAGTGGACAGAGTGGGCAGCTGCCTACGGGCCTCCACAAACCAGGGGCCTACACATATTTGATTTTTTTTAAATTGTCAAGGAAAAATATAGGCTGACCTGAATGACATGCACGCAACCCGTATCAATAAAAACCAAACCGTTATTGTGCGCATTTTACATCTTACATACGTAAGACATAGCGGCATAACCCATATTGTATTTGTTTGTGAATGGTATAGTCAACTACAGGGGAAAACGTACCAACGGTTCAACGTAGCCAATATTCTCTCTCTTATTGCAGTTTACTTTTTTATTTTGTAAGATAGCCTTGTACACATGATACATCCAGTATAGTGTTGGTATGTTTGAATCATACACCTCTACAAATGATGGCTGCCCACGGGCCTCCACATGTCTAAATCGGGCCCTGGGAGAGAGGGGGAGAAGAGAGAGAAAGAGAGAGAGAGAGAGAGAGAGAGAGAGAGAGAGAGAGAGAGAGAGAGAGAGCAAGAGAGAGAGAGAGAGAGAGAGAAGAGAGAGGGGAGAGAGAGAGAAGAGAGAGGTGATATATATATATCAGGAGTAGATAATATGGGAAGGAGTGTGGCATCAATAAACAAGGAAATTCGTCGATTTCACTATTCGTTATAATACCCATCACGATCTCTCACCTAACGAACTCACCTCATACCGAACGCAACTTGAGCTCAAGGAGTCGGCACACAGTACATTCGCCAATACATCGCGTGCGAAGAGGATCGATTCCTCGTAACGACACACGCCGCAATCGCGGAGATACAGCCTAAAACGGTAAGTCACGATTCTTCCATTCTTCTTTGGCCATCAATCCAGCCCATGCGCCGTAATAAATTCAAACAAAAGGCAGCTACCTACACGCGCGTAATTGCTAACCGACGCGAGCATGTGGCTCGCGGGGAGACTATCAAGCAAATCAACACTCGGCGAGATAACCTTTGACCCGGTACAACAGCTACACAGGCGCACCTTTGTAGCGAAGCTGCAGCCTTCACGCAGCGCCCGCCAACCCGAACCATGACTTAGCTCCGTCCGAGTGTTGCGTCGAATCTCCAATCTCCCGCGAAGCCACAACGCGCACATCACTATCCGAGAGAGCATCACACAGCGACTGCGGCAGTCCTTGCTGTCTTTGTCTGAAAATTATAGGGACGCGCAAGTGGGCTGGATTGAGGCCAAGAATCGGAGAATCGTAGTACGTACGCTGCCTATAAAGCCTGTAATCTCCGGATTGCGGTGTCCTACGAGCAAAACGACTTTCGCACGATGACTTGGTCGAATGTACTGTGTCCGATTGAGCTCAAGTTGGAGTGATCTACCATAGTAGAATCGCTAAGGTATTAATAGAGGCAGTAACTGAGAATTTCCTGATTTAATTGAAATGTCACAACTCACCACCCCCCTCATATCTAACTCCTAAAATATATTATAAACTATACATATATATAATATAAAATAGTATACATACTAATACTATAATATCTCTCTCACAATATTATACACATCACTTTATTTCTTCTCGGAGTTTGCTCGGCATAACCGCTGTTGTATATATGATATAGGACAACACGGCCTGACCTGCTACGCCTATACACATTTACTACGGAAACTCGAAAATCATTGCAAACGTCTATAAGTATATAAGATCGTCGTTGGGTGATTATATGCAGCGATTAAATCTGAAATATTTGTTTTAGGGAGAGGGGGCATTAAACAGATTTTCTTCTTGGACCCACGATTATCGAAGTTAGCCGCAGTTCTAAGGTTTCAGGCTAAGGGCCTACTGACGCGTGCACGAAACACATCCACATCCGGTTGCGCACATCCGGACTTACTGACGACGCTCCGTTATTTAGGTTAATAACCCCGATTGTAATATATAGTAACCGTGACCCGACACCATGTTTCTTAATACGCTCTTGGTTGTACGCATGCTCGTCAAAGCATCTCAAAATTGGACCCTAAATGGCGTATTCAGCGGTAGCAAATTTCACCCCTTATTGGCGTAAGATAATGTAAATCTTACCCCTAAATGGCGTAAGGCACTAAAACGGACCTCTAAATGGCGTAGCAGAATAAATTGGTCCCTTAATCATGTTAATTGTGTAATTATAATTTTCTCACTCAATAGCTATTATAGAGATATACACTGGAAGCTATATTAATTCATTTCTTCATTTTGGTTCATTTTGGCCGAATGTGACCTGCACAGCAAGATTTCACTTCAGCTCCATCAGGTGAACAGCAGAGAAGAGCACCATCACAGTTGTAGAGTCGAAGTCAGACGAAATCAGAAGAATCGTCAGAATTGAAGTGATATCCCTAAACGTCGAAGGTTAACTTGAAAAATTACCCTTTTTTCTAAAGACGTTGTCAACGCTACAGGGTCAAAATCCTACTATTTTTCGACGTTATCTCTGACGAGCATGCGTGGTACCAGGTAATATCCTGAGTGACCCAGCGGGTGCACGCGGCGAGTTTTGTTTGACCTAAATTGTACTATTTCACAGTTATACATTGCCAGGAACTAGTTTTCACTTTTTCTCTTACAGCGGGACTGGTTGTGGCCGTACATTAGTGAATATTCGGCCATGTGCGTCAGATGTGTCTTTTTCCCGCAAAATCTGGGAGTGCAGTGAATTTAGTCTTCAACGTTGCTTCAGACCTGACTCTGCGTTGCAATTAATTACTAGCTGCATGGGTCGATATACTAGGATATGCAGAACGTTTACACGTACTGCATAAAGACCTAGCTATAGCTCTTCATTTACAGCTAATCATATTTTATTCTACAAATAATTGTATGTACATCGAGGGGACGTAGGATTGATGTTATTGCTTTTACCGCTAAGCAGATGTGTTTCGTCTTTGACCTATTTAGGGAGCGCGTGCTTTTTCACGTGCGTAGACAAATATCGAGCGAACTCTCGGTGATCCCTAAATCTTATATCAGCACACCAAAATGCATATACCGGGGCCAGTCTCGCAAGTCATTGGGAACTGCAAGATATGCGGCGTGTGTTCGCTCGGGTGGCCTTTCTCATACTCCACGGCGTACCAGTATGGCCGCTCTCCGTGCAGCAGCCTGTAATCAGAAGTGAATTATAGACAAAATTAAATTAATAATAATAATATATCTTATTATAAAATCGTACACTTAATTACTGCGCTTAATTTATATTAATAATGGGTATACGTTGGAATCAAAAAAATACATCACTATCTCCAAAAATGCATAATTAGTAATTTACCTATACCTAACTGCATATTTGAAATGTACTAGAAATGTTCACGTTCGTGGTCTCAATTTCAGCCATTTTGCGATCACGTGCTTTCGACGCGATATATACCTTGACAAAATAATTGCAAAAACAATACAGCCGCGTTCGTTTGTTTTGCCCATGCGTTGCTGCATGTTGTTTGCTCATAACCGTCAAACATTAGCTCATTAATTTTTTTATAGCATCATGCCTCGTAGGTTTTGCTATACTTATGTAATAAATTATTATCAACGTTTCACCGCTACGCATATCCTGTCTGACGCTACTGTTCTCACGAATAGAGATCAATGTGGTATATGGGTAGATATAGAAGTATGGGTGAGTTGGGTGAGTTGACATTTGGTATGATTCGATTTTTTACTAACAGAACAAGCAAATGGCGCAGCCCCCAGTCACCTTGTAGCCTACCTAGGCTACTAAGCAGGACTATCAGCATATCCGTTTTACACAGACGTGCCTATAGAATCTCACCCTTAGACTCCAGCAAATGACCTGAGCTAGAAATCTTACTGTACGATCAACTACCCCTGTCCGAGAGAGACAAATGCTTGAGGGCCATGTATGAGATCTAGAGTCACTATACAGGCAAACACATATTATCATATTATTAGGCCAACACACCGAAACACACACGAAGGCCTCATGCACACACAAGCACACGTACACGCACACGCACACTCACACGCACACTCACACGCACACGTACACGCACACGCACACGCACACGCACACGCACACGCACACGCACACACACATACACACACACACACACACACACACACACACACACACACACACACACACACACACACACACACACCACGCAACGCACGCCGCAAGCACACCGCACGCACGCACGCACACGCACGGCACGCACGCACACACATCACACACACACACACCCCCACACTACACACCAGGTTACACGCACGCACGCACGCTTGTGCAACTTACCACTCTAGTCAACGGTGTTTGTTACTGCTACAAAAACATTCGAACGCACATCACCACTTGAGTCACAATGAGCCACTCTCCGAGTACCGATCCAATCACTCGAGCCCACTTGTGCTGAACAGAAGACACATGGTAAATAGAAGACAAACAGTTCGCAGGATCCGCGCCTATTCGTGACGAGGCGAATAGCTGTTCCTCTCTAAAACCTCATCAGCCGCTTGATGCCTCTATCACCTCCCCCTTACATGAATCGTCCTCCATGTCGCGACGATGATTATATATTTATAGTGAAAGTACAATTATGTGCTTGCGCGTGTCCGACGCTCGAACGATCTTGCTCAGGCTTTAATTCGGTATATGATATTAAAATCTCACAAGCATTGTATGTTCCGTGCGACCGACGCATACTTCCCGAAGTCTCTCTCTTCTCTCTCTATTGACGCGTGGGAAGAAAGCGATCCGGATCCGTCTCTGTGTTCTCGAGGTGCTACTGAGCGGATCTTACAGCGCTTGGCAGCCGTCACGTGTGCATAAGTGATCTAAAAACTCGGTATTCATAATTACAAACAATAGAGTGCAACTAACCTTTACATTTATAACAGCAACTAAGCAGAGCTGAGGTCAGCGTTAAAGTAGCGCTAGTGAGCGAGTAAGAGAGGGGAAGGGCAAAGCGGGAGAGAAGAGGAGTAGACGAGAGAGAAAGAGAGAGAGAGAGAGAGAGAGAGAGGGAGAGAAGGAGAAAAGCGGGAGAGAGAGACAGCGCGCGAAGAATCTCGCATTAGAAAGATATAGCGCACCCGCAAGCTCACCGTAGACTCACGCTCGGCTGCAGGGCTACTACAGTGACTGGTAAACCCCAAAGTACATTTGTGTACATATACACTCTGCCTGGAAAAGGAGGGGATCTCTAGTGCAAGTGCAAATCTATAAGCGAGCCTTATCTAACAGAGATATTCGTGTGTACGAAGCTATGGGTTGCTTTCCGGGCAAACTGTTAAGAAGATGCATGCACCCACGTGCGTATGCTATCTATATATATAAAGTTGTTCAGCCGAATTTGTGTGTTCGCGCAAAACTAGAGAACTCTGCAGCCTAGAGAAAAACTAAATATATTTTCAGAATCAGCACGTCTGGGAGTCTATATATATAAAGTTGTTTTTTTACCACATTTAAACGTTTAATAAAAATCCAGAATAAACTATGGTAGATGATAATGATAGCACAAACTAACGGGAACACTTCACGGAAGCCTATATGTAGGTTACATATCAAATATTATTTTATTTTCTATATAATTTCATTTTATTATTTATAATTTTTGACTTTTTTATTTTAATGACTTTTATCTTTTGATTTCTTATTATTTTTTACTCTTGGGATGGGATGGGGTGGGATGGGATGGGATGGAATGGCATGCGATTGGATGGGATGGGATGGGATGGGATGGCATGGCATGGCCTGGGATGCGATGAGATATGGCATGCGATGGGGTGGGATGGGATATGGCATGGGATGGGATGGGATGCGGTGCGATGGGATGGGATGGCATGGCATGGAATGCGATGGATGGATGGATGGATAGATGCATGGATGGATGCATGGATAGATAGATTGTTCGATTTTTTCGGCATTTTCCTTTCAACCAAGCGGTCACCAACTGAGTAACGCCACTGATTTCCCTGGCAACGCCGGGTATCCCGCTAGTACACTAATAAACACACACAGACACATACACACGCACTCGCGCGCGCGCGCACACACACACGCACACACACACACATACGCACACACACACACACACACACACACACACACACTCACGAGCGCGCAAGCGCAATTTTTGTGAGGCTTTACTCCTGTCACTAACATTGCATATATACGTTTTATAACTTGCTAGCTCATTTGTGTATGTTATACGGATTGCGTGCGTATTTGAGCGCTCAGTTCCTGGGGTATATGTTCCGCACTACAATCGCTATAATAAAAAGGTTCTATACAGGTAGCCAGGAGTTTCGAACACTCTTGGCGAGTCATACGGTTCACGTGATGATTTTTTTGAATTTCGTACATAATTATATAATCAAGTATTTTGCATGATATTTCTTATCACTAAGGCCGAGCCGGCCTTAGCAAACGCGATGCCTAAATCACGCAGAACCTTTCCTGCACTAAATGCTTATATAGCTGAGCAATGTAAAGAGTTCGTTTCAAGCAGCTGCTTTGCTTGCTTTGTCCCAACGACGACCCCATAGAAATAATATACTAGCTAGACTGTTTCTGTATATTTCTATATCCAGCCTATAGGGTTTAGTTCCATGCACCTGGTACCCGTATACTCACCCTTACTTACTCTATTTGTTTATATACCTATAAATATTTGTATTGCTCGTGGTAGTAAAATTTTAGCTCGTGTTGATTTTAACATTAATCATCAGTAATTCACTTCCTTTATTATACGGCGGCAAATCTCACCTTAAAACGGGAGATATATGATAGGGTCGGACTTGTATCTGCGCATGCATACTATCTGCTGTAGGAAATCAAGTTTCATTCGAATTATGCATTTAAAAAGTAGCGAACATGCTCAGAAACAATTTGCTTTAAAAAATGTAAAATGCATTGGCTCTCTTATAAAATAAGGAGTAGCCCAGTTATTTTCTCAACATCCCGATTACCATCAACGTCAAATAAACTTATGTACATTTTCATTGCCACTAGTCTGCGCTAGTGTCTCGCTTTACTAATATGTCTAATATGTCTATGACTAATAATGCTAAAAAAATATGTTCCTATAACTTATCATTTTGTTGAAACTGTGGAGCTGTATTGAGCACAATTTCGGAAGCAGTTAGATAGAACGAAATGCTGTTCCTAATGACGTACATACGAACTTTACGATAAATTACAGTGGCATACGTGTCTGCGCGCATGCCTACTATCTGAAATAACATTTTGATGGAATTTTGTATTTAAAACGGAGCCATAGCATATTTAAAATTAGGTTTCAATGAAAAATGTGAAACTTTGGCTCCCTCATAGAATAAGAGAGCGCCCAACCTCAACATCCCGATTCTGTACATTTTCGTTGCCGTTGGGAGGCGCTACTGTCGTGCATAAAAAGTAGGTGTGGTAATAAATAAAGTATAATCATATAGAATTTTTCTGTACAAGAGCCTGTGTAAAGTCGTAATGTCGTCTATGTGACGTTTTGGAGACCTTTTTGTGCTTAAACTGCAGGAAAATAGTCGTCATGCCATTCTCCCAATGCCTCCCTTTTTCCCTCCCGCCCTGCCCCCATTCTCCTTGCCCAAATTCATCCTGAACATGCCATCGGGTCCCCTAACAAAGGGTCACGTTTGTAAATCTAAAAGCAGTAACTGAAAATATGTTAGGGCTTTTTATTGCTGTCAAAGACGCAGCCTTTTTATTGGCAACTAGAATGAGGAAATAACGCAATATTACACAATTTCGCTATAAACGCACACAAGAGAAAATACGCCCACCCCAAAAGCGGTTGCCAAGTCACATAGGGGTCGAGATGGCTAATAGTGGTAAGCCAACATTTCCCCGAAAAGGAGATAGTTGCCACAATTTCGGTGTTCAATTCAACAAATTCTAAGATTGTCCACAGATAACTTAACTGTAATAACATTTAAATGTACCAATAGATGGCGATATGTGTCCTACCTGAAATACATTGCTGTATTATGTATGTACTAAGTATGTGCTATCATACGCTGATCTTTTTATACTAACCGATAGTATATAGAGATCAGAGATCCCAAGGCATGCCCAACCTTTATCAGAAATGAAATGGTATTTTCTTAAATTTTTTCTTGATATTTCTTGGTAACTATTGTTTAATGGTATTTCTTGAATTAAATATGTTATTTTCTTGAATTTAGACAGCGTGTGCCCACGGCCGGTAATTTTACATGAAAGCTAACTATCCGAACTTAGTCACTAGCTGCACTAAATTTCTTTGTAGATTAATAGCGGGACGCTTGTGTTCACGCATGTCAAATAAAGAGGTGTTTGTTAAATTATTCTATTAAAGGTATTAGGTCCGCGATCAGCTTACGTCTTTCCGCCTTCAGTGACAAGACCTGCCTATGACGTTTATAGCCAAATGTCAGGACATAGCATCTATTTTTCGGCAGTTATATTGAGCCAGCATCATTCGGCTGAAAACCGTCCGCGGTTGCTGTGTTGCGCGCCACGGCCACAGTCGCCACCATTGTGGTGAAATGCATGTACTAGTAACTCAGGAAGGAATGTACCCACTATTTAACGTACAAAATACGCATGCATAAGATTAAGTAGTTGCTATTTAGGTAGTCCGTGTGTGTTTATAGTACGTGGTTGACTGGTTGTCCGTTCATCTACCTGGCGGACTGTTACAGACTTAATCCGCTTTTGCTCGTGGTTGTCCGTATGTGATTTCATGTTGTCAACATCACGTTTTCTTTCTTACTCTGCCGTTTTCCGTTCACGATTATGCGTGCCCTGTTATCATAGCAACTAACTCGATATATACACAAAAATATTTACTACTTTTCTTGGCATTAGCGCAAAACCAATACTATTTATGACTGAAACGAGATTCCAGCTTGCGTTTATTAGGTTGAGTCTGGAATCAACACATGATGACCGTGAACTTCTGAACTAGGTGTCCAGCAATAGCACACTTCTTCTGTTTATCACTGGATTCTCTCTCGGCTTACAATTGTACGCAACCGCGGAGTGACTCCGCTTGGCAGCCCAGCCGGCTCGATCACACTCCTTATAGCAACTGCATTTTTCACTCCTGCTGCCATGCATGCTATTTCTATTCTGTAGTTTTAGAATGCGTTATATAAGGAGTGTATAATGACAAATTTGTCATTATACACCCGTGGTTATATTTATGATAGTTACTGCCTATGCCGCTTGATAGCCGCTGGCGCTGTCTGTCTCTTTGCTATTATTATTCGCTATTTATTTGTTATGATTATTATTCTCTACCTATTGCTGTCTCTTCCCTGTCTCTTGGCGCTGTCTCACGCTGTCTCTTTTTTTATTT